TGAGACCAGGTGAGACTTTCTTTGAGCAGATACAATACAAATGTATTAGAAGTGGGAAGCTAAAGAGCCTAGCTTGTTTATTCTGAATGTTATATGCTGACAAGTGGGGTACATAATTGTTTAAATTTTGTTTTTAATTTTACCATGAGCGGTGATATTTTGGTGTGGTTTGTAGTGTGTGTGTGTGTGTGTGTGTGTGTGTGTGTGTGTGTGTGTGTATACAAATGCATGCACAGGTGTATACAAAAGTCATGTGGTACAGGCAGCTATGAGCTTCCTAATGTGGATATTGGGATTCAAACTAAATTCAGCTGTCAAAGTAGTATACATACACATTTAGCTACTAGGCCATCTCTCCATCATAATACATTTATTTTAACCTAAGTACTGTTGCCTTGAGAGTTCAGCCAAAAGTGATGCACAGGCCATTTCCACTTCGGGGTTAAATTTCCTTTGATTCTTGAATATCACAAATTAAGACACTACTCAGTCCTAAGAAGAGCTACTAAATCAACTAAGAGTGTAGTTTGTCACCTTATAATGCTAATACTCTATTGGTAGGATTGTTAGACATATCCTATCCATCACTACCTTGTTCGTTTTCTTATCTATACTGCTGCAGTATTAACTCTGTAAATCAACACACACTATGCCTGCCAAATGGGAAGTTACTGAGCCAGAAATGGGCACTCTTGTTTACACCAGAATACTCTATTCAAGATCAGTCCCCATAAACTGGCCCAGCAGGCTTTATCCTGGCAGAGAGTCAGAAATGTAAGAGTCCCTCCCCTGCAGCTCTTCCCAAAGGTCCTGCTCCTAGGAAAGAAATAATCACATCTTTGCAAATGACTAAGATGTTCATTTTACTATGTAAAGCATGCTTCACCCATCACAATCCCTAACAGAGACTGCATGTGGTAAGTGTTATTATTGCCTCTTTGTTCTATGATTTGAGCTGTTTGACTTTTGTGACCCAGAAGAGTGAGGTCTTTGCAGAAAGAGATAAAACGATGCTTAAATTCACAGGAGGAGAGATTTGTTTTATTTTGATTTGGTTTGTTTTGCTTTTGCTCTTTAAAATTCTAAGGAGGAAATAAGCAACTGTCCACTTAAAAATTAAATGTCATGACATTTAAAGTCTATTAGCTTCTGGTAAACTACTTGTAGCTGAGGACTGGGGTTGCTGAAAACTTGGAATCAGTTCCGTTTGAGCCAAGAACTAGTCTGGTTGCTGCAGGTGTTGTCAAATTATAGTCTTTGGTTAATTTCTTTCTCTGTCCCTTTAAAATGTTCTATTCCTCTAGGGAGATTGATACCACTGTTTTATAGTGTTGAAGACAAACAGTTGAAAACTGGAAAGTAGTTAAATATTCCCTGGGCTGGCAATGTGCAGAAGAAAGACATGGGTGCAATCTGCACAACTGATTGGAAAGCAGGTCAGGATTATTCACTAGGCCACCAAGTACAGATGTCCACAGCTTTGTTGCCATAACTAAAGGAGAGGTAGTATCTCCTGTTTTATTATATATTAATTTCAGTGAAGTGTAAGGTACATTTTAGAAATTCTTTGTGGGTCAGAATGATGGAAAGATTTATACCTTGCTGTTGATGAGCAGCACCTAAAATGTTGGGGAGATGATAGAGGGTAAGTCCACGCATGGTACATGCAATGTGCAGAAACATAAAGCAAATGGACCGCAGAAGTCATTCAAGGGAAATTGCCCTGTTTTTTTTTCACATCAAGTCATATCACTAACATGATGCACCCGATCAGTTCAAGCAGCACCCCAAACGAGGGCAAGTCTTCCCTGCTAAGTGCAGTGTCAGCAACTTAGTGGAAGAAATATGATACAGAGATCAATCCCCTGATAAAAATATTAGCATTATATAACAAGTTCTTCCTTTCCAACCCCCATCAACTCTAGCCAATGGTAGGCAGTTTAGAGTATTTATATAATGGTTGAGAAAACAAATGGGAACCAAGTAGACATGAATAAATAAATTAAAACAAAATTTGTTCTCCATTAAAGAAAAATAAGGTGGTGTTGACATATCTTAAATGATATTGTTTTGAGTAGGTGGATAATATAATTACATTATTTAGTATTTATATATTTATTCTCTAGTTCAAGATAGATTTATAAATTATCTCACTTTCCATGATGATCATATTAAACAATTAGATGTGCTTCATCAGATAGTTAGAAAAATATAGTGTTCTCTTTGTTTGTGAAAAGTTACATGTGTTTCTTCTTACTGATTCTAAAAATTAGAAAAATGCCTAAATCAACCTAGGCAGGTAGGTATGCCCTTATAATACCCTTAACAACAATTTTCAAAATGCAAAGCTACCATTATAGGCAATCAAATGCAGAGAAAAAGAAAAGACAAAAGCAGATGATTCTAGAAATTCAACTATATCAGGGTTTAACTAACATTAGATGAGATTGTGTTTTATCAGAATGGACACCAACAAGAACCAGAACACTGGCTATTAAGCTGATAAACCTCTTCAGTGGCCAATTAAATGAAACCCTATGAGTGGGATCTATACTCTATCATACTGAAAAATACATCCAGAATCTGTTGTGCAGGTTTTGTTAAATGTCTACAGATGCTTTTGCCCAAGGGCTTAGAAGATGTTAGAATCAGTGAATGAATGATTGTAATCCCATACTCTTAGAGTAGACAGAGAAGGCACACAACTCATATTGTTTCTGGTGGTAGGGGGGGTTGTTCATAGATTTGTGCTACATTTTGGCAAACCACAGAAGAGAACAGCATGACCCTGTGTTATGAAAACCACAGTAATTCAACAAGCAATTCTAGACAATTCCTAGAAAAAAAAAAACTCGAGTTTTCCATCATGCTGAATGTGGTTGTCACTCAGGGCTCAGCAAGAATACTCCTGCACGGTACTGGAACTAGGTCCTAGTAAAATGTGGTAGATAGTTTTATGTCAACTTTACCCAAGCTAAAGACATCTTAGAGGAGAGAACCTCAGTTAATAAAATGCTTCAGTAAGTCTGGGGCTATAAGCAGTCCTGTAGGGCATTTTCTTAATTAGAGAAGAGGGTCTAGTAATTGTGGGTAGTGCCATACCTGGGTTCTATAAGAAAGCAGCCTGAGCAAGCCATGAGGAGCAAACCAGTATGCAGCACCTCTCTATAACCTCTGCATCAGCTCCTGCCTCTAGGTTCCTGCCCTGATTGAGTTCTTGTCCTGACTTCCTTTGATGATGAACTGTGATACAAAGATGTACATAGTGAGTTATCTACTCCGCCATCACCTGTAGCACTTTGGGCATGGACACAGGTGAGAACATGATGGAGAATGACTTTAGGCTGGGGTCCGGGCAGATGGCTCTCTGTTGTGTCCGGTTCCTTAGAGCAGGATCCTGTATCATGTTTTCTAATGAACTAACTTTAGCAACTGTTAGCTATAGATAATTTAAATTGTTAGATTACTATATGTTGACTGTTTAGGGTTTTCTTTCTGTTTACAATGCTTTACACATAAATATAAAACTATCTTGATGTATACACATTTTGTATACTGATACAACTTAGGATATTTTATCATATTATACTTTACAGTTCTACCTTTAGTCAAGAAATTTCAGTTATATCTCTGTTTTTGACAATTATATATATATATATATATATATATATATATATGTTTACAGTTACATTCTTTTGAAGTCATTGTCCTGGTTAAATTATTTTGGGAAGCTTCAGCCATTGTACAACTATGTTTCTGAGAATTACAGACTATTACCACCCATGTTTCTTATCTATGAGATTAGTCAGACATAGATATTTCATCTTCAAACACTTCATAGACCTACAGAATATGACACTTAAATGTATTAATATTAGTACTCCATTGACATGAGACACAATTGCTCCTGGCAGCACCAAGCTATTCCCGAGAAAATATTGGGCACCGATGTCACTATTTCTGGAGTCCGTACTCTCCTCTGCTAATGGCTTCTTGGGCAAAGAACTGCCTCCACCTCAATCGCTGACTTTGGATATGTTGTCCTACTGTGCTTGCAGGAGGTAAACTTAGAAGATAGCTGAACCTTGCCAAGCCAGGGTAAGACAACCTTTCTACCAGCCAGCTTCTGTATTGATCAGTCAGATATTCCCAACCTTAACCAAAGCTGTTGCCCCTTCACTGCTGTAAGACTTTGGGTGACTGTCCAGTTAGCCTGATGTTTCTTTCTTCTTTACACCTTTTGGAAGTTGCTCACCTGCACTTCCTACTCTAGTACTGTTATCCTCCTTCTCAGGTCTTTGATAAGGTTGAAGATTAGACTGTCACAATTATTGTTCTCTCTTCCTAGATAGAAATATTAGGTAAAAGACTTAAACTTTCCAGGTTAGGACAACTCTACAGTAATCTATGTTATGCCTTTACCCTAGGACTGGATATATAGTTCTTGTCTTTCATTCTAGCTGCTTCACTGGCAATAGGTCTTAAGTGTGTTTGTTCTTACTTTTCTTTCTCCTAGAGCATACAATATTCTCTATTTTTGTATAAAGTTTTGTGTCAAGCCTAAAACTTTTCCTTTAGACTTAAAGGGAAATTGTAGTGAGATATCCACCCAGCCCTCACCTCTAGCACTGACCACACCCATGGTGAGGACATGATGGGGGAAAGAATTTAGGTCTGGGGTCTGGGCAGATGGCTCTCTCTTGCGTCCAGTCGGGTCACAGGGAACAGACTGAGCAGATCCTTAGAGCTGGAACCTGCGGTGGCTATCTGCCTCTTGTGTAAGTGGCATCTCCACGAAACAAATTATATTTAATATTTGAACCTAGTCCCATGAATCATTATCCGTGCCTCCGCATATGTAAGCTGAATAAACCTTTTCCTCTTCAAGTTGCTTTGGTTTTGGTGTTTTGTTATAGCAATAGAACCCCTAACTAAGGCATAAAGAGAAATACAATTGTAGTTAGACACTAAGAGTTTTGGTTCATGCTGTTCTAGGTATGGATGCTCCTGTGGTGATATTTTGTTCCTGCTCTAACAAATAAAGCTCGCCTGAAGATCAGACGGTGGATGCAGTCACTAGTTAACCAGGCAGTGATGGCACACACCTTTGATCCCAACACTTGGGAGGCACATGCCTTTAATCCCAGCATTTGGGAGGTGGAGATGGGAATAAAAAGCAGGCAGACAGGATCTATGGCCCATTCAGTCTGCGGATTCATACAGACAGGCGCTCGGTCCTTTTGGAACTGAGGATTTCATAGAGGTAAGAACTTCAGTGACCTGCTGTTTTACTTCTCTGATCTTTCAGTTTTCACTCCCTAATATATGACTCCAGGTTTTTATTATTAACACCTATTAGGATTGGCAAGCTCCCTAACAGGTTGTGTGTTTAAGACTAACTATTAAGGAGCCTCTAAGAGATGGAACCTAGGTCATGGGAGATACTCCCCTAAAGAAAGACTTGAGGTGATCTTGTGGCACCCCAGTTACTTCTTAATGTCTGTACACACACACACACACACACACACACACACACACACACAAACACATACACACACACACAAATACTAGTCTCTTCGTCTCGTCTCCCTATGTTTTATGCTTTTTGTGATATTTTTGCTCATATGCATGTTTCTGCTTTGATGCCATCCACTAAGCTGAGATCCATACAGAAGTTCCTCCTGGTAGCTACGATGAGGCAGGTGAAAAGCACCGAGATTCCCAAACTATGAAGTAAATAAACTTCTTTTCTTTGTATAAATCTAAACTCAAGAACTTTGTTACAGTGACAGAAATTGTACTGATCTACTCAACTAGCTCAACTAGGCCATGTCCTAATGATAGATTAATTCTTAGAGACATCCAGAGTTAGGCTCAAATGATCTTAGCATATTTATAAGGAATGTATTTGGGCAAGTCAACAGAACTGCCTGTTCTCAGTTTATACCTGTCAAACAAAGATGGTCACAGCAACTGGTTCATAGTACTACTATGATGATTTAATGGGATATATAAAGTGCTTAGCACTCATTAAGTTTCACTTAATAATTATAAATATTATGAATTTTACACAAATTATCTTAAAAATAAATATAAAACAGTCCTGTGAAATGAGAAAAAAAACAAGATTTTATTTCATTATGACTCATTGACCAGTAGGTTCTGGTTTACAATTTAGGTTGGGAAACTGTCTATACCTGTAAACCCAGAAATCATGGTTGGTATAAACAACTGCTGTAATAAACACTGGTTATCTTTTATTAAAGAATATTTCTTTGGGATGAACCTAGGTAGGCATATGTATTCAACAGACTATTTTTTGGGATAATACATGCTAAAATATAATTTCTCATCCCCAGGTAAATATGCTTATTACTGGACAGTATCCTTATCATTTTAATGTATTCATATTGTACTGTGATTTTTCATTATTCTAATTTACATAAGAACTGAGGGGAAAATTGGGTCTGTTTATCTTAAGATGAATTTGTTTGGTTTGGCATCATCCTTCATACATTTTATTCATTTATATTACTTGATTGTTGTGCATAGGTTCATCTCTACCTACAAGTACTTGTGTATCCATACATGTGGAAGTCAATAGCCTGAGATAACCAGTTAACTTAGGGTGGCTGCCTAGCAAACCCCAGTTATCTTTCTGTCTCCTCCTGCTCCAGGGTGCCTGCATTACAAATACCTGTCATGCTGCCCAGTATTTCATATGGGAACTGAGTATCAAGCTCAGGTCCTCCTACCTGTAAAGCAAATACTTTACCAACCAAGCCATGTCCCAAGACCCTTAATTACTTTTGAAATCTATGTGATTAAAAATGTAAATGAATACAAATCAGAAAAGCAAATGCTTTCATGAGAATGGATAGATCATCGAAATCATCTCACAATGTGTTAAGATAAATATGTGGTGAAAACAGATTCCTCTGGGAGATGTTCTCAAAGTCCATGTTTTTTTTTAACAAGGCCTAATGTTTTGTTCTACTGTAACTTCTTGCTAATGATAAATTCTCATTCTTCATTCTATACTCCATCCTTGACTCTTCTATATCATGTTTTATTCAAATGTTTTGGAGAGCTAAGCAGGAGTCTCTCACAGCCAAATTACATTAGTTCCTACGATATCAATGTGCCAGTGTCTGTAATGTTTGAAGTCTACCAACTGTTACCTATTTTTCATTTATCTGTCATCAGTAAAACTTTATGAGAATAACAAGAGTTGGAACATAATGTCTCCAAAATTATCAAGAGGATCATGGAAGGTGAAGGCAGATAACATCTAGCATCTTGGAGCTCCTCTCCAAAGAAACATCTAGGGAAAAGGTTTGTTCTGAAGTAAGCACTCTCACAAGGAGGATTTCAATGTGAAGAGATGGGGGATGAAAAGCAAAATTCACAGAAAGTTGCTCCCAAAACACAAGAAAAAGACACCATACTCTCTGAGTCATGATCTAGATAAAGGAACCCATGATGCTTTCAATAAGCCACTCACAAAATAACTCCGAAGCTTGGCTCACTTGATGCGTTCTTATCAATTTAGAGCTTCAATCCATCCAGTGTTGTTCAGTGGTCTACATTAACAATGACGACCTTTCCACTCTCGCTGAGTGTCAAGTGTTCTCTAATTATACTTTAAAGACAAGTGGGAACAATACATTGGAATGATATGGAGATTACTGCCTTTAGATTTTATAAGTCAAACCAGCCCCCAGAAGAATCTGTACACAGAAGAGAATTCCATTCTGCAGCTGTGCTGGGTATACTTTACACATAGAACAAGGATGGAGGAAGAAGGAATGGCCTCCTGGAAGGATTGTTTTCCTTCTGGACTGCATTTAAGGCTTACGGAGTCTTGGGATGTCTTGGTTAACGAATTTCAGCTTGCTTCTAGGAATTATTCTCCCAATATATAGTTTGAGTGTATTCCCTAAGACTTAATGTGTTGAATGAAGACTTAAAATTGAGGTTTTGGGGACATTTAAGAGAAGTAGCACAGAAAGAGTTTTTTTAAGATATTCATGTAATGAAGACTTCATTGATTATTGTGGAAACGCAAGTATTTCTAGTTAGTGGTACCTGTTTAGTGTTAAGGAGTATAGAAGATCTTGTACCTCATAGATGAGTGTATACATGCATGCTAGCATATCTTTTTGTGGTTTGTCTACGAACTAGAAGTAGGAAAAGTTAAATGAATAGGTCCCAGTGACTGTGACGTTCTCATTACTGTATACCAGCAAAAATCACTAAAGAGTCTGAAAATTCTGATTTCAAATCGGAATATTCAGGTCATAAAAAGACATATTTGTCATGGTAGTTGAATATAACATTGTACTTAACCATCTTTAAACATACCCTGTGATGGAGGAAGTCCTTCTGTGTATATATTTGTCTTATTGGTTGATAAATAAAGCACTGTTGGCCAATAGGGAAGCAAGATAGGTGGGACTGGAGTCAAGGAGGAGTCTGGGAAATGTAGTCAAGGGTAGAGAGTTGCCATGTGATCCCGGGAAGAGAGGATGCATGAGGCTGGCTGGCATCCTTGGTAAGATAAGACCTTATAGAAATATATATATATGTAGTTATGGGTTAATACTTAAGACAGAGCTAGCCAATGAGAAGCCATGGACACTGGCTGACAGCATTGTAACTAACAGAGTCTCTGTGTATTATTTGGGGTTGATGTGGCTCTGAGACCAGGTTGGTGGGAAGAATGCTCGTTACAACCCTGCTTTTTACTCTTGCCCTTGATCTTACAGGTAATTAAGTGCCGGCTTGCATTTCTCTTTGATCTAAGATAATAGATTTGTTGTGTGTTCAGAGAGCCACTAAATCAAGTTAATGGGTTTGAGGGTCTAGTTCAAACTCAATGTTTGTCCATGCCTTCCAAAGAAAGTAGAATAGAATGTTCACTTTATGTGGTGGAAAATTATTTATGATTTAATAAAATCTGCTTGAAGGATCAGAATACAAAGCTAGTCACAGCCATAGAAGCTGGCCAGTGGTGGTGCACAGTTTTATTCCCAGGACTCAGGAGACAGAGGCAAATGGATCTCTGTGAGTTCAAGGTCACTCAGGGTTACATGAGAATGAATCAGTCTAAAAGAGAAACAGAGCCCATGCCTTTAATCCCAGCACTAGAAAGGTATATAATATAGGAGCAAGGCATTCAATATTCAGTCTTAGGCATTCAGCCATGCTGAGTTAGTGGATCCAGGATCATCCTTTCAGTCTGAGGTAGACCTAAGAGCTAGTGGCTGGCTGCTTTGCTTCTCTGATCTTCAGCTTGAACCCCAGGATCTGTGTATGGGTCTTTATTATTCATGCTACAACTTTATCTTTTGGTTAACGATGTTGTCTAGTCTTCAATTGCTAACTCAGAGTGTTTGCTAATGGTGAGCATACCTAGAGATTGCAGGAGCTCAAATGAAAATGGCAGTTCTTGGTGATCTTTTTAATGTCATCTCTTAGGACCATAGCATGATATTTATTTGGACAGCCTTCACAGACCTAGGAACAGATACCACTAGTTTTATCTTGCTGCACTTTGATTCTAAAGCTGAAGATGCTTTAGGGAGCTTGAGAAAGTCATCCCCTGCTTTGCAACATCAGACACAAACTTTTGCAAATGCTTCTTTGTATGTGGGACTCAATGTCAACATGCTTTCCTTCTACAAGGGTACTGAAATCTGCATGGCCTATGGTAATTATTCTTTATGTCATCTTCTCAAATGAAGCAATTGAGAGGAGGACCATGTTATGAACAAACTGATTAATGATTTCTCCTGTGTATACTAAAGCTTTTCTTCACGTGTGCTCTGGCAGGGGATGATTTGTCTGGACGTCTCACATCTTTGCAAGCTTAGTTTTCTACTGAAAAGGTGTACCCATGAAACTGTGTGTACACTAATGCTTCCAATAACACATATCATCCATTTTTGCTTCAGTAAAACAAGTCTTAATCACTGTAAAGCACTTTCCAGCCTGATACTTTTTGTGAGCATGTGACCTACCCTATATATGTGTGCCCCTCAGAATAGTAAGCACTGATATTATACTGTGAAGGACAGAGTCAACAATAATCCCACTATCTTGCTTGTGTTGAACTGAGCAGATAATTTGACTATTCATAAAAGACACACACACACACATTTCAAGCATGTCTTGACTCATATATACCTATGACTTAATAAAAAATCATTGTAAATATCTGAACAGCTGTAAAGCATTGAAACAATAATGCTAACACACTAAATTAATTTTTTGCCTCATGAGACCCATTATGGATTTTGTGGCTGTCAGTTTTTCAAACATGAGCTTATTTCCCTCTTTGTCAAAGTGGAGAGAAATTCTTATTTTGATTCTGTTTACATTCACAAGGACATCAGAGAGTTCAAAGAGACTATAGCAATGTGGTGTCTCATATGTGAGCTGAATTGGAAAAAAAATTCTCAGATGCTACCCTGAAGAGAATTGTTCAAATATTTAAGGGCTTTCTTCAAAAACTGTAAGTTAATGTCCTTGATGTTTTTGCCAGTCTTAACTTGACTATTGGATTTATTAGAAAAATATTTGCTGGCCTCCCATGTCTGAAACTTTGGAAATTCTTGCTAATATTTGTTGAATAAATATTTTCACATACAGTTAAATCACTAGAAGCTAATTTTCTGTATGAGACATTGTCGAATTCTGTCTCTAAAAGAGTCACACAGCCAATGTTTTAGGTTTCATGGGTCGTATGTGACCTCTGACAGAGCTGTTTGCTCACAGTATTGGCACTCAGAATAGCAACTGACAATATGCAAGAACGAGTACAGTTGGTTTTTAATAAAATGCTTCTTATCAGAACAGACCATTTGGTCTACACTCTTTAGTTACCAACCTCTCATCTACACAGCCTTAAAGTTGAGAGGACAAATATTTCTGTGTCTTTGGCAAATACGGTCATAAATTTGGTATGATTTTAACACAGTATCTTGAGGGATAAGAAAGTAAGTGTGTATTCTAACAGAGTGATCTGAAATAACACAACCCATAGAGTAACAACTATCCAGAAAGCAACATGTGTGTTTCTGTAAAAGGTTAATTATAATTAATGTCCAATTTTAGCTCTGTGACAGGGGCTTCCTAGTTTTTAATCTATGACAACCAAACACAGTTTCTATTGAGTGGATTTGTTGATATTATACTTGTTGATGTATAACTTAGAAACATCTCTGCTACCAGTGTGATTCTTTTGATTGTAATACCAAAAGAAATCCATTGAATACAGATCAAGTCAGATGGAAATAAGAAACTTTGATTTTCCATAAATTACTGTATCTATTTGACAACATAATGAAAAGAGAACATTGAAGACCAAGTGTGTTTTTCAGGAGAGGAGGGAGGACAGGAGAGTTGGGGGGAGGGGAGAAAAGAGGAAGAAAAGAAGGGGGAAGAGGGTGAACAAAAAAGAAGAGGGGTTCATTTTCTGAGGATATTTTGTAAGAGGTAGGTTAGAGGAGTAAAGTATCTCATGCAAGTACGTGTTTGTGCTAAAAATACCTCCCCCCACTATCTTCTAAATGAGCTTTTATTTCTTATAGAAAACCAGAGTCATTGCTGGACACTGCTGAGGAAAACTTTGATACATTGTAATGGTTATATCATAGTCATATACCTGTGATGCAATCCCCAAGGGATAGAATGTCACATGAAGCAACAACACAAGAGGGACACCAGCATGGAGAGGGGTTTGTCAATCAGAAGAACACTGTGGCGTTCTGAAGTCAGGACAGACTGTCCAGAAACATTGAGAAAGAAACATGATACATAGTACCTGATGGATTCACACATTAGAAGGACACTATCAACTGCAAAAAGCAGCCTAGCCAAACAGGTAGGGAAAATGAAACAGTTTTCCAGGTGAACCTTGAAATTATTTAGAGCCAGTACCATTTTAAATATTTGATTTTATTAAGGAATTAAGAGACCTGCCTTTGTGTGGCATTTACATTGCATTTACTATAAATGTGTAGATAAAGCACATTTACTTGCCTGTGACAGAGAAAATCTTCACTTTTTTCTTTTTTGCTATAAAAACACTTTTTAAAATGCATTTTAAAAATGATGTGCACATATGTGTTTCTGTGTGTGCATATGTCACACGTGTTCCCATGGAGGCCAGAAGAGGACTCCAGATCATTTGGAGTTGGAGTTACAGAGGGTTGTAGGTACCCATGGCAGACACTGAAAATACATTTCCAGTCTTTTCTCAGAAAGAGCACTGTGCACTCATGGACATTGGGTCATCTCTCCAGATTTCTACATTCTTTCTTCAAAACAAAGCTGTTATTTTCTTTCTTGGATGTGGGAAGAAAAACAGCAGTTCAAAATTCTGTTCCCTTTCTGAAGACCTGCAGGAAAGTGCATGCCTTATCTCTGCATGGAAGTGACTTTCCTAAAGAAACTCTACATGCTATGACCTCCAAAGATGAAGGATGTGTTCAGGCTAAATGAAGTGTCCACCAAGACTATTTCAGAAACAAGTTGTGGGGACAATATTGTTGGCTCCAAAGCCAAAATCATAAATTTGGGTAACTTAGTAAACTTTAAATCTGAGTAATTCAGACAATGTGTGATTATTACAATATAGGTATCCTTATAGTTGTTTTCATCTCTTAGATGCAGTGTGTGTGTGTGTGTGTGTGTGTGTGTGTGTGTGTGTGTGTGTTGTCCAGGTATCAGAGTGAGATCTGTCTTTATTCAATGAAATATTTTTAATTTCAAAGATGAGACAATATAGCTTGGACATATCTACGCTGTACTTCCTCCTTCTGGTTCTCCCATTCCCTCTTAATATATCTTTTTTCTCCCTCCCAACTTCCTGTCTTCATTTAGTGCTGTCTATATAGAGCATGTGTGTGACATCATTCACTGGTACAGGGGTAACTCATTAATTTGTTCAAACTCAGCAAATCCCCTCTTCTTTCAAACTCGATTGTTAAGATAAAATAGTCAACAATCACTCATAGCATATGTCAGGAATTAAGCTACCAGTTCTCATCAATGGACTGACTTTAATAAATATCCTAAATCACTGTAGGCCTTTCCTAGGGAAGACACTTGCCTAGGTGTGCTGCAAATCACCTACAATGTTTAACTCAGATCTATTAATGCCCAGATACACTATCTGTAACTATGATCTGCCAAGCCTAAAGCTCTTTTATTCCTTAGCTATACATTTAAAGGGGCCCACTCTTTCCTTGATCTGGATTATAAATGTTGACTTTTTAGATGTGGGAAACTATGGAAAACTTGAAGAAGCATGGAAAAATGTGGATTGTGTCTGGGTCATGAAGACATGTGAAAACAATGGCTCCATAAGAAAAAAAAAGCTATTTTGTATAGGCATCTCTGTTTTAAAAGGGTACTGTACTTTTCTGTGTGAGGAAAGATCTTGAGATCACATGTAGTTAGTCATAATAGAAATCATTTCCACTGGATGGCAAGGAAAATTACCCCCAAACTACTGGCACAGAACCTTAGCCATGTGTTGTCAGAACAGCATCCAATCGACTTATCTACAATCCAGAAGTCTCATGTCACATTGCAAAAACTGTCCTTAGAAATTAACAACAACAACAAAATCAATCAACTGTAATAAAGATGCACTGGCCATAAAATAAATCAAGTTCACAACCAATGCTGTCATACAACGGGGATTCTTGCCATGACACATTCCTTCTAAGCAGCTATTACTCGGGGACAATCGGAAACGAGTTCACAGAACGTGAACACATGGCAAATGGGACCTGTGGTAGATGTGTAAATTTAAGTGACATTGGCGAGAATAATAAGACTTTCAAAAATGTGAGATAACAGTTGCCTCAAATACTAAGTCTAAATTGTTAACAAAAACTAGTAATAATCCTAAGTTTTTATGTTCCCTGCAAGTTCCAAGAACTCATTTGTATAGAGCTGTGCCATAGCATGTGTAAGGAGCTATACACCCAAGCAATAAGTTCCATTGTTGCAAACCTTATATACCTCACTTTTTAATTGAACTATTTGGTGTTTTTGTGACTAGCTTCTTGAGTTCTTTGTATACTTTGGAAATCAGCCCTCTCAGATGTGGGGTTGGTGAAGATCTTTTCTCATTCTGTGGGCTACAGTTTTGTCTTGTTGACTGTTTCTTTGGCTTACAGAAGCTTCTCAGTTTCAGGAGGTCCCATTTATTAATTATCGATCTCAGTGTCTGTGGTACTGGTTCAGGAAGTGGTCTCCTGTGCCAATTCATTAAAGGGTGTTTCCCACTTTCTCTTCTAAGAGGTTCACCAAAGAATTCAATTAAAAAGTGAGGTATATAACTAAACAGAGAATTCTCAATAGAGGAATCTAAAATGGTTGAAAGATGCTTAAGAAATTGCTCAACATCCTTAACAATCAGGGAAATGCAAATCAAAACAACTCTGAGATATCATCTTACACCCATCAGAACGGCTAAAATAAAAAAAAACACTAAGACAGTTTATGCTGGAGAGGATGTAGAGAAAGGGGAACTCTCCTTTATTGCTGGTGGCAGTGTAAACTTGTAAAGCCACTTTGGAAATCAGTATATCTATTTCTCAGAAAATGGGAATCAGTCTACCACAAGAGCCAGCAATTCCACTCTTAGGCATATACACAAAGGATGTACATTTATTCAACAAGGTCATCTGTTCAACTATGTTCATATCAACATTATTTGTAATAGCCAGAACCTGGAAGCAACCTAGATGCCCCTCAACTGAAGAATGGATAAAGAAAATGTGGTATGTTTACACAATGGAGTACTACTCATCAGAAAAAAATAAAAACAATGAGATCTTGAACTTTGCAAGCAATTGGATGGAACTAGAAGAAACCATCCTGAGTGAGGCAACCCAGTGGCAAAAAGACAAACATGATATGTACTCACTTATATATGGATATTAGACATAGAGCAAAGGATTACCAGCCAACAATCCACACTTCCAGAAAAGTTAGGTATCAAAGAGGACCATAGGATAGATATACATGGTCCCATGGTGAAGAGGAAAGGGACAAGAGCTCCAGAACAAATTGGGAGTTTGGGGGAGGGGGAGGAAGTTAGGAGAAAGAGGAGGGAGAGGTGGAGGGGGAAGGAGAACATGAGAGATCAGGAAGATTGAGTCAGGGGATGAAAAGAGGAGGGCAAGAAGATAGACACATCAATAGAGGGAGCCATTATAGGTTTGAAGAGATTTCTGGCGCTAGGGATTGTACAGAGATCCACAAGGATGACCCCAACTAGGATTCTAACAGTGGAGAGGCTACCTTAAATGCCCTTCCCCTATAATGAGAATGCTGACTACCTTAGTTGACATCCTAGAGCCTTCATCCAGTAGCTGATGGAAGCAGAAACAGACACCCATTGCTAAGCACTGAGCCAAACTCCTGGAATCCAGTTGTTGAGAGGGAGGAGTGATGAACAAAGGGGTCAAGACCTTGCTGGGGAAATGCACAGAAAAAGCTGACCTGAGGAAGTGGGAACTCATTGACCTCTGTCTGAGAGCTTGGGAACCAACATAGGACCAAACCAGGCCCCCTGAATGTGGGTGTCAACTAGGAGGACTGGGCAGTCTATGGGGGCTCTGGCAGAGGAACCAGGATGTATCCTTAGTGCAGAAAGGGACTTTGGGAGCCCATTCCCCATGGCGGGATAGTCTCCTAGCCTATATACACAAGGGAGGGCCTAGGCCCTGCCCCAAATGTCTTGACAGATTTTGATGACTCCTCATGGAAGGCCTCACCCTCCCTGGGAAGATGGGAGATTAGTGGGGGGAATGGGAGGAGGGGAGGGAGTGAGAAATGGGATTGATGTGTAAAATAAGTTTGTTTCTAATTTAAATAAAATGTATTTAAAAAAGGAAAAATACCTCATGTGACAGTAATATACATCACTTGACATACACATAGAGGGGCTATAGACTTAGTGGCTGAAATGCTTACCTTGCAAGTGTAAGGACCTGAATTCTGGTCTCCAAGACCAAGTTTTAAAATGTGCAATATGATAATAAGCTTAAAATCATCATTTGGGAAAAGCAGAGGTATCTGGATCCCTGGCCAGCCAGCCCAGCCTGCTCATGTGGCCAATAAATAAAGTCTCAAATAAAAAATGAATGGCTCCTGGAAAAGGAAGCTGAAGCTATCCCCTGCATCCTTATTCACACGCACGTGCACTTGTGTACACTTGCACACCCTGTACACACAGGAGCACGCGTGCAAGGGCATTCTACATACACACAAATATGCAAGGAGTGTAAATAATAAATGAATTCAAATATGCAAATCCACGAGAATTAAAAAACTAGAACACAGACAGGAAAGCTATAGACAATCAAAATAGAGCCCTCTAAGGGGAACTAGATCATGCTTTTTAAGAAAAACTTTTTAGAAACCTTGACATTATCAAACACTCTATGTGGTTATTGCTGCAATAGTGAAATGATGTAGTTGTCAGTATCCAGGGTCAATTGGAGGCAAAGATAAGATCACCATGACTGTCAGCACTGGGTCTGTCCTTATTTCACAGGAATAGAAGAAACCACTGTGACAGTTAAGGAAGAGCCTCCAGAGAGACTTTGTCAGCTGATCCTTAGAAATGGAATTCTGTGAGTTCGCAGGTGCAGTGACTCCGAAGGGTCCAAAAGACACTGTTTCATAGAAGTGCCCTCTAATGTTATCAAAATACATTGTACACATGCATAAAATTCATTGAATAATTCTGAAGTCAAGCTAAGGCTTTATGTAGTGCATCTGCCACCATGATGGAATTGTTCACACTCTTTCACTTGTATCTTAACTTATTTGCATGTAAAATATGTGACTAATGAAGAATTTCTTAAAGTAAATTTCATACATCTGCATCATGCATTCTGACAACATTTACCCTACATTCTCCCTTCTCACCCCTTCACAGTCATTTGTTCTTTCTTCCAGAAAAATCTTAAAATTTCATTTATACTTTCATGCATATGTAATATATATTGTAAAGTCTTTGATTCACAAATGTGATGAAAGATTATCTCTTCCTGTGTCTGAGATAATTTGTTTAACATAGTGATCTACAGATGCACATATTGATCTCAAAATGGCATACTTTTTCTTTATGGCTGAATACAACTCAATTACACACATACTACACACACACACACACACACACACACACACACACACACACACACATCACATCACATACTTCTTCCTTTACCAACTCATCTGTTAACAGGCACTGAGGCCAATTCCACAATGGCATTTGTAACAAGTTCTGTAATATGAATATTTAAGAGTTTCTATTATGTTGATTTAGTGTCCTTTGGATACACATTCAGGAGTGGTATAGATAGTTGGAGGTTTTTTTTTTTGACAAATTTCCATAATGATTCCCAGTGTAGATGGACTCAAAAGCTGGGCTTCTGTAATCTGAGTTGCAATCTGGCGTTGTGTGCACTAGTGGTTGAGAGGTGTTCAAAGAAATTATGTAGATAATTAAAGAAAAATAAAGAAATTGCTCAGTTAAAGACTGTGACCTAAATCACTTTTCAGTCTTTAGTTTAAAAGAGAGTAT